AGTTGGGCTCTCCCTTGGTATACGCATAGGCATCGGGACCGTAGCGTTGCCCTGGCTTCCCATCTTACGGATCTAGCTCCGACCTCCCTCACTTTAGGAGTCATTTGCATGATTCCCTTACCCATCATCTTTCTACCCTTCGCCGACCCTCACGCCCTAGTTAGGCAGCCCCGCATGCTTCATCTAGGTGCGCCCAGTATACCAGGCTCCCTTGTTCCCTTGCATGGTCGACCCTCCATAGCAGTCACCCCTTAGTCGAGCATTACCCGCCCTGATGGTCTATCTGTTAGGGTCATTAGTTCTGTTCGCTCCCAGTTCCCTACCCTCATCGAGCCTGATGACATGCGTTTCCCCTGTCACTATGTGTGGATGCCCTTAGGAGTTTTCAACCCCTAGGCTGCATTCGCCACCCTCAGAGACCATCCCACCCTTTGGTGTGCGACACACTTCTCATGTGACTTATGGTTGTCTTGTTGATTGCTTTGTTGCTCTCAGACTGAGGCTACTGCCTCCGACATTTCTAGGATTTAGTTGTTATGCTTTTGCTGTTCTTAGGACTTATACACTAGTCAGTTGTTACCAGACTGAGGCTACTGCCTCCAATATTCTAGGATCTAGTTGTCACTACTTTTTGCTTTCCTAGGACATGTATGTTAGTTAGTTGCACCTACTTTCACTTAGGCTGTTAGCTGTGACATTGCTGTTTTGTGACATTTTATATCATAGGTTGCATCGCATGGACTCAGCATGGAGCTTGCTCTGCATCCTAGACTACTCAGAATTTCTTTTCTTTGGTAGAGTTCCGCTTCTTGGCGGAAGCATGTTTGTATCTAGGCGATCCATCACAGGCCGAGGATTGTGTAGCGGACCTCGGGTTGGCCTGTGAGACCAGCCCCTTGGCCTGTTCTCACAGGCCTGTGTTATATTCGGGGTAGGCCAGTCCAAGCCGGTACCTCTGTCGGTACCAGCCAGTCCAGTCCAGTCCCGTCATTCCGCTGGGGTATACCCCAGCCATTGTCTGTTTTCAGTCTCATTCCTTACTTGCACATTTTGGAGTACGTGCGTTGGAGTCTTGCGTGGGGAGCTGCGTTGTGCCATCTTGCTCCCCCTTCTTCCTCCATCTCCATCTCTGTCACTAGCGGAGCACCACACCTGGTGGGTCCGCTACAAAGACGAAGTCTATGATGATGACACAGAGCTTATGATAATCCAAGCATGAAAGACGAACGTGGAAGGAGAGTTGTTGGGGATTCCTTTCGGAAAGGTAAGGGACGACCATTTGTAGCCAATCACAAGCGAGATCCTGGTGTTTCTGGTGCAGCTCCTGGACGATCTACCCCTGGATATCTTGTCGTGTTGTGACGAGCGGACCACACCAACGGTGCTTACCCGTACGTTGGCACCACATCTACTGTGGTCCACGTGTACGAAACTCGACCGAGACAACTCCCACTACCCCTCCTTGGGCCACTATCTGGTCATTGACTGGACCGATCTCACCTTGTGGGATCCGATCACTCTAAAGGTGGAAGTAGAAGAAGAGGTAAACAAAGAGGAGGAAGAAAGAGAGAAGGGAAGCGAAGAAGAAGAAAAAAACTCGGGGGTGGAATTTGAAGACCCCGATTAAAACGAGTGTGAGGATGGTGAGTTGGATAAAAGTGAGTCGGGCGGATCGGATAGCTTCAACGAACTGAGTAAGGGAGAAGATGAAGCCACAACTCAGAGGAGGCGGGAAAAGGCAGAAGGAAAGCGGCCAGTGCAACAGTCGGACGGACCAGCCGCGCCGTTACTACAAGGTGATCCGGCGTGCAATCTAGAGCCACCGCAGGAGGAGCCCGGAGGAGATGGTGTCACCACCACGGAGGGATCCACAAGCAAACGCCATAGAAGACGTTCTTCGCCGGCTCAATCCTCTCCAGAGTCTCCACCACTGCGGCCCATCGTTCGCATATGTGGAGAAGCGGGCGCTCGGGCTTCGTCCCCGGTCGTTATCCCGCCATCCCCTTGATTACGTCACCCTCCATCAGCTCGCAGACTGCCCTCCGTTCCCTTCTAACTGGCATCCTTTCCCACCTTCCCTCTTCCACCAACTTTACTCTACCCGCCTCATCGCCACCGTTTTCCGGCACGCCACCACTCACTCTCTCGTAACCTTTTTTCCCTCTACATCCTTTTCCTTAGCGCGGCATGGAAGGAATATAATAATATAGAGGTTTATTGCATAATCGCATGTACCATCCCCGCGTGCAAAGAGCATGAGAATTTCCGCGCCTCGATTCCCCCCACCCTCTGTATCCTCTATCTTGATTACCTCGCCTCGCTCCCTCATCAAGATCATGATTTCCCTCGCATTCATCGCACCGTCCACTACACCCGACTCCCTGTTGTAGATCGACAGCTCCGCCACTTTCTGCCACCCCTCTTGCAAGTTCATCCTCCTCCTCCCCCACGTGTCATAAGGCTACCCTTACCCGACAATCTCTAGGATCGGAGTTCGCGGTGCCACCTAGATGACTTCCACACTCTCATCTCACGGTAAGTGGCACGTGTCGGCTCCACGTCGATCGTTGGTGCTTTCTCACAAGATCGATGGCGATTCGGATAGCAAGCAAGAGTTTGCTCAAGATTGAAACCCCCTAGGCGTCACATATGTGACGAACTGTTTTATACAACAACGAGATTTTCAGCGCAAGGCTACTTCGGGGGTTGAATCGGGAGAGCTCGTGGGATAACATGAGTGCCCTTGCTTTTCTTGTTTTTCAGATTCGAGGCCGGGGTGATCTTGTGACGATTGGTAGCTGGTCGCGCCTTAGCGAGCGCGAAAGATAACTATTGCCATAACTTCTTTCTTGTTCTGCTGTGGGAAATGAAAAATTTTGGCGCGGTCGTCGCGCAGGAAAATCTTTTTAAAATTTCAATTGAGGTTGAGCCCCTGTGGGCTCTCGAAATTTGATACGTTTAAAAAAAAATTTTGCGATTAAGATTTAGATTAGGAATTTAGGCGCGTCTCAATTTTTGTTGCATGACACTTACCACGTAAGGATCTGTGTTCTGACTTTTTCGCGCCTTAATCCTTGCATGTAACTGTAACTTTTGTTTTGGCGGGCATAATTGCAACTGTAATCCTCCTGTTCTTGATATCTTTTTGTGGCGTCCCTGTGCGCGCGTACGTCTTCCTTTGTCCTATTGGCCTGAACGCCTGCATGACTGGATCGATGCGTGGAGTGAGGCTACGTCCCCCACGCCACGGCCTTGCCATTCAAACGTAGGCACTTCCTTCCTCCTCCTTCTTTTTCCACTTAGGCACAACCCCAGTTATCTCGCGCAAGCATGCATGGTAGTATAAATTTTGCAAGCGCGATTAACTTGCTCTTTAAGAATTCTGGAAGTTAGCGCAGTCGAGAGGATCGGGTAACGAGCGAGATTTGGAAGGTGAGTAGAGAGTTGGGCGATCCGATGAGCTGCTGTTGGGAGATCCGACGAGCTGTTGTTGGGCATGCGGGGTTGACGTGGGGCCGCGACGGACTGTGGCGCACGGGCGAACCTGTCTTGCATGCTCGGACTAAACGGGGTGAGAACTCTTTGTGGGTGCGAGGCGACGGACTGCCCGCATCGGGATGTTTTGAACGAGAGAGAGAGAGAGAGAGAGAGAGAGAGAGAGAGAGAGAGAGAGAGAGAGAGAGAGAGAGAGAGAGAGAGAGAGAGAGAGACGAGATGTATTGTGGTGATGTTCTCTTTCATTATTTTGAGTAATTTTGGTATTCGCACCAGTCGCCTTGTCCTCTGTTTTTATCGACGTCTCGGATTTTTCGTTTTCCTTGCTTCCTTTCTTTGAAGACTGACATGTGGATTGTTTTTCCCCACTCTCCGTCTCTGTTTTTTTTGAATCGGCAAATCTGATTGATTGGTTCCTAGACATCAAGCCTCGTGTGATCTTGGGGCTTATTGGCCAATGAATTGTTGCATGATCCTCAATTCTTTCTGTTTGTATGTAAGCTAGATGCATGGATGATAGACGTGATTTGGTCTGTGTGCGAATTGGATAGGCATGCTAGACTATTAGATGATCGTTTCACTATAGGATGACGGGAGCACGCTTGTTTGCCTGCACGACCCTGGGCGGAACCCCTGGAATTTCCCTACTTGACGGGAAACGAATGTATTTGCGAGTGGGACCTCGACCAGGCCTTGGAACATACCCCATCTCCCCAGCTACTCTAGCCCATACACGTATCACGTCCTCGTGGGGCCCCTTTGACATCGCGAGGCGGTCTTTGGCTGCTCCTCTATCGCTTTCCTCGATGGTCATAGAGAAAGTAACAGGAGGACTATCAGTGGAGGGTAGGGGTGGAAGAGTAAGTATTAGTCAAGAAGCAGTGTTAGTTGGAGGATAAGGAAAATGGAGAACATGAGGATAAGAGAGTTAGGCGGGGAAGAAAACACTTGGAAAGTACAACTCCTACTGCAAAATGTGACGCATCGGTGATGACGATGAAAGAGCGATCAAAATCGGGGAGCCGAAGAATCGGCGCACAAGTCACCGCCTTCTTAACGGCGCGAAAGGCGTCCTCATAGAGTAGAGTTCAAAACCACAACGGTTTTTTTCAAAGGAGGGTTGACATAAGGACGTGGGAATACCTTGCGTATTCCCGGATGAAAGCACTATAGTAACCAGCAAGGCCTAAGAAACTGTGAAGCTGCTTGGTGAAAGTAGGGGTGAGCCACTCCACGATAGCAATTATCTTTGCATCGTCCATGTGGAGACCTTGGTCAGACAAATGGTGTCCTAGAGAGTCCAATTTGTATTGGGTAAAACGACAATTACTTAGCTTCACGTAGAAGTCATACTTGCAAAAACGTTATAGGACATCGCAGACTCATAGAGGTGTCAAAGATAGTATTTTAAGGTACGACTGTAGACCCAAATGTCATCCAGGTATACAATAATATATTCTTCAAGGATGTCCTTAAAAATATTGTTCATCGTCGTCTGAAGGTAGCGGGTGCATTGGTGAGGCCGAATAGTACCACCGTTAACTCGTAGTAGACGAAGCTCGATCGGGAGGCGGTCTTTGGCTGCTCCTCTATCGCTCTCCGGCAACACATATCTGCTAGTAACCACTACAAATCGATCTTCGCAAAGAAACGGTTGTCTGCCAGGCAGTTAAATAACTCATCCGCACGATGCATGGTACCCATCTCTTCATCCACCTCTAAGACTGAGGATACCCCTTTGACATCCCAGGTTCCTCCGTCGTCCACTTGCGAGTCTAGAGATACGTCTCGTGCTGATGAAGGCACTGAGGAACTATAACCGACTTATAACCCACCCTTCGTTACCTAATTCGAGAGTACTATGACGTTTTTTTCCCGTATTTCTCATATTGTAGGATCCCTCCAAAGCGTGGTGTGGAGCATTCTGTCAAGTTCGTGCCTGACTATCGTATCCACCATCAGGCACCCTACCGACTCTCGATTCCGGAGGCGACGAAACTCAGGTGTCTGCTCGAGGAGCTTCTTCGACTGGTGTCACTAAATTAAGTAACTCTCCAAGAGGTGCACTCGTCTTCTTTGCTCATAAAGCGGATGAAACTCTCCTCCTTTATATTGATTATAGCGATCTTAACCATTACACTATTAAAAACAAATGGAGGAAGGGTAAGGGGAATCAAACTCCAAAGAAATGATCTCAACATCAGGACAGTTTGGACCAGAGCGAAGAAAATCCATAACGTTTACCAAGTAGAAGGTGACGTCCTCCTGACATATGAAGTGAGCAAACATGTGAGGAGAAGTGAAGGTGATGTCTAGGTGGGACCTATGTGACACCCGCAGCCTCGGCCACGGGCAATCTGGTCGTCGGGCCGAAAAAGTCGGCCGCGGCCGCGAGCAGGAGACCTAGTTTGCGGCCCTGTTTTTTTTATATTTTTTGGAGGGTCAAAAAATATGTAAAAATATATATATATATATGGGGTTGTAGGGTTTGCAAATCCCTACAACCCAGTAATTTTTTTGGTTTTTAGTTTGACTTTATTTACGAATTTAAAAAAGTAAAAAACAAAAAAGAGTTAAAATGAGAGAAAATAAAAATAAAAATAGAAAACAGTTCAAAAAATATGGGGTTATAGGGTTTGCAAATCCCTACAACCCAGTAATTTTTTTGGTTTTTAGTTTGACTTTATTTACGAATTTAAAAAAGTAAAAAACAAAAAAGAGTTAAAATGAGAGAAAATAAAAATAAAAATAGAAAACAGTTCAAAAAATATGGGGTTATAGGGTTTGCAAATCCCTACAACCCAAAACCTTTCTCTGTAATTTTGTTTCCCCTTTTTTCATTGATTGATATGGAGTTAGAGTCCTTAAAATTTTGCATGGGCAATTCGGCGGCGATGGTCATTGCAACAATTTAGCAAGGAACCTCCACTGAAATCGAGACAGACAGTGAATACGAAGTGGAGTATGAGCTGGTTGAGTATATATTGAGGATTTGTACAAACGTCTGTGTTTCAACAATTATGGGTTGCTCAGTTGGCCAACCGTGTTGGTCTCTGAACAAGATTCTCACGGCTTGGCTGCAGTACTAACCAAATGTGCAAAATTAGAATGAATCTTCTAATAGAACGTGGAATAATACGCCCCCATATGTTTTGTCTTTTTTGCATGTGGTGAGTAGAGGGCCTTAGGGCCACTGCACGTATTCCTAAGAAAAGGAAAACAAGAAAACTAACGAAAAACAGAAAAACGAAAGAAAACGAGAAAAAAAACAAAAATAAGAGAACATAGAAACAATGACCCATAACTGTGATGCACATACCTTAATTCAAGTCCAGATTATATATTCTCACCCCACACAGACAAATTGTAAGTCTAATGTCTGTCTCTACTCCATAAGGTTTCCCTACGAACTTGTAGGGACCCTTCGGAAATGAGGCTGGACACAACTAGGACATGAGGACCCACATGCACACACATGTGCTCACATTGTTGGGGTATGGGGTGACCCTTACTTTTTTCCCTCTTGCAGTTTGATTTTCTGCAGCGAAGGGCGTGTTTGGCCACCTCACCCTATCCTTTTAATAGTTCTCTTTGTGACGATATATATATATATATAGTTGCCAGGCCGAACGTACGGAGGCCCCTAAGCTGACCCCCGAACGTTCGGGCGTTCGGGTCCCCGCACGGGGCCCGAACTTGAAGGGGTTCGGACCCCGCAAAAAAATATTTTGGTACCTAAAAATTATTTTGTTTTTCTGATTTGTTTTTTCTGAGTTCTCTATTATGTGAGCTACCTGTATCTCAATTTTGAAGTCATTCTGTGGAGCCAAACAATAATGAAAAATCGGCAAAGATGGTGGTGTCAAAACTTGCTTTCCCACTTACTAATTTGTTTTTTTTCTCTTTTCACTTTTTGTTTTCCCTTTATTTCGGGGTCTGAAAAAAATAAATATTTTTTTTAAACTTTATTTGTAGGTTCTCTATTATGTAAGATACATATGCATACAATTTCATGGCATTTGACAAAGCCAAACAAAAATGAAAAATGGCCAAAGATGGCGGTGTCAAAAACTTGCTCGCCCACGCAATAATTTCATTCTCGTTTTATTTTTTCTTATTTTCATTAATATTATTTATTTTTCGTATTTGATTTTTATTTCAAATCTGGTAAGAAATTTGGATGTAATGTTGGGTCAAATATTGTTAAGTTTATTCTTCTGCATGACATTTGTTTTTTTCAGAATGTTTGGAAACCTTTTTTT